GCATGTGTACTGTGGTCTATTTTGACGATTGTATGTCAATCCATCAGTGCAAGATCTCCTGCGAATCCATGGGTGCCTCTAAATACCGATGGTTTCACAATGCCTGCTGCGAATGCATTGGGCCTGAGTGCATCGACTATGGCAGTAAAACTGTAAGATGCATGAACTGCATGTTCTGAAGACGGAAAGCAGGGTTTTAATGTTATAGGCACCAAAGGTATTCCTTGTCGGTAACGATTGAGCTTGGAAGTATTGCTTGAGACTGTAACAGTGGCCAGAGAGATAGTTGCAGGGACCAAGAGATGTATACAGTTTTTAATGTGCGAGTTTACACCCTCATCCATGTACACAGTATTAAGTAGTAAATGCTTAGTCTCTTTATTTTGCATCTTAATTGGGCAGCATAGTCAGTGTTATGTTGACCCGAATCGATGAAGTTAACTAATATATCATGGATGGTTGTGAGTTTTCCGGGCTGGATTACCATGTTCCCAAAGCATTCTCTCCTGACGATTTGCCTGCATCTATGGCAGCTAGGTATGAATGTCAATGCTATTCAAAGTAGCCAATTGAAACATTCACACCTAGCTCCAACAGACAAGAGTTCTTTCTCCCACCCTGGACTGTCCACAGATATATAAACCCAATTTTCCTAGTTTCCAACAGACCTCACAACTTCTGAGGATGCCTGGCATAGATGCAGGTGAAACGTCAGGAGAGAATGCTTCGGGAACATGGCCATACAGCCCGGAAAACTCACAACAGCCCAGTGATTCCGGCCATGAAAACCTTTGACAATAATATATCATGAATATCTTGAGTAACCTGATCATGTCTTTCATAAACATTAAAACCAGAATCCTGAACTATAAACTCTGTAATTGTTTGAACGGACCACATACTTCCAAATATTTGGATTTAAACTGATGCGTAGCATATTGTTACAGACTTGCATAGATTTCTATTATGAGAAGTCTTTTTTTAAAAAAAGTTGGCAACTTTAAGAAATCATTTCCAAATAGGCCAGTAAAAAAGGAAAGAGTTAGGGTTGTGAAAAACTTACAACCACAGAATTGATACTGGATTTTGCATCATGATAATTCTCTCTCCAAATCCAATGAATCCATTTTTAAGTAAATTTGCTAAACTTTATAACATATTCTTTGTTTTTTGCTCCCCTGAATCCTTGCCTTCAGCGAGGCTGTTAAAAGTGGACATACATTAACTGGAAATTAATGTGCAAATCACGCTGAACTTGCTAAGTAATGGTACTTTGAATAGTAAAGTAAAGTAAACGTTTCCCGTGACATTAAGTCTAGTCGTGTCCGAGTCTGGGACTCTGGTGCTCACCTCCATTTTTAAGCAGTCAATGCAATGGAAGCATTCTGACTCATGGCCTCCAAAGAAGGCATGTGTCCAACTCTCGGCAGGCAAGGTCATACTCACAGTATTTTGGGACCAGCACGGAATAGTACTGATGGATTTCCTAGCAAAGGGGATCATGATCACAGGGGCAAACTATGCTTCACTGCTGCAGAAATTGCAGAAGGCCATGAAAACCGAGAGAAGTTGCATGCTCCTCAAAGGTGTCCGCCTTCTGCAAGACAATGCACCAGTTCCCAACTCACCTGTTGCCCAAATGGAAGCATCTCCTTTGGCTTTGAAATTCTACCACATCCCCCTGATTCACCCAACCTCGCACCATCGAATATCCACCTCTTTTCAGCAATGAAGTTATTTTTGAAGGGCAAGCCTTTCTCAGGTAATGAAACTTTGATTTCCAAAGTCACAACATGGCTTTTAGAGCAACCTGTCGACTTCTACAAGCGAGGTGTTTACAGTTGCTTAAAAAGATGGGAGAAGTGACACTGATGGAGAAAAGGACTCGGGACTGGGCCAAGTTTCATTGCTCTCAGTCCACAGGAAGTGGGTCAGGGGAAAATCTTTAATGAACGCCCCTTATATATGGCTGGAGTTACCTTAACAAATGTACCTGTTCCGAGTTACATACAAATTTAACTTAAGAACAACCTACAGAACCTGTCTTAATGTATTGTCGAAGGCTTTCATGGCCAGGATCACTGGGTTGTTGTAGGTTTTTTCGGGCTATATGGCCATGTTCTAGAGGCATTCTCCCCTGACGTTTCGCCTGCATCTATGGCAAGCATCCTCAGAGGTAGTGAGGTCTGTTGGAACTAGGAAAAAGGGTTTATATATCTGTGGAATGACCAGGGTGGGACAAAGGACTCTTGTCTGCTGGAGCTAGGTGTGAATGTTTCAACTGACCACCTTGATTAGCATATAATGGCTTGACAGCACCCAAACATGAATCAAGGAACATGAAAGGCACTGCAGACTACTTCAACCAGAGAAATCAGCCATAGCAGAGCACCTGATGAACCAACCTGGACGCAGCATCTTATTTGAGAACACAGAAATGCTGGACCACTCTCACAACCACTATGTCAGACTACACAGAGAAGCCATTGAAATCCACAAGCATGTGGACAATTTCAACAGAAAGGAGAAACCATGAAAATGAACAAAATCTGGCTACCAGTATTAAAAAACTCTAAAATTAACAGCAAAGCAGCAGAGGAAACAAACAAGGACATCTAATCACATCTCAACAAAAGTTTGCTCTAGGCACTGTCAGGCCATTATATGCTAATCAAGGTGGTCAGTTGAAACATTCACACCTAGCTCCAGCAGACAAGAGTCCTTTGTCTCACCATGGTCATTCCACAGATATATAAACCCTTTTTCTAGTTCCAACAGACCTCACTACCTCTGAGGATGCTTGCCATAGATGCAGGCGAAAACGTCAGGAGAGAATGCCTCTAGACCATGGCCATATAGCCTGAAAAAACCTACCACAACCCAGAACCTGTCTTATTCGTAACTTGGGGGCTGCCTGTACTAGCATTGATGTGTGGTCTGTCATGCTATCTCTGGCATGGGCAAACTTCGGCCCTCCAGGTGTTTTGGACTACAACACCCACAATTCCTAACAGCCTATGGCTGTTAGGAATTGTGGGTGTTGTAGTCCAAAACACCTGGAGGGCCGAAGTTTGCCCATGCCTGTGCTATCCTATTAGCAGACATCTGTTTCACACAACGATGCATCTTTCCTTTTCCTCAGAGAGTACTTATTGTGAGCTGTGCCTTACAAGGATGGAATGAGAGAGTCAAACAGGGAACTTTACACAAACAATATATTTATCTACATTTATAAAGCAGGTTATACGCATCCCTTCAGTCCAGGATCTGTGGCCAGTCCTATGAATGCAAATATATCAGTGATTTACTATATTTTTGCACTGCATCTCACCCATTTCTGATTTATCTGATAGCCTTCTTTTCTGGAGGAAAGTGTCGCCAGCTCCCTAATTAAAAGTTCCATCTTGAAAGGTGCGGGGAAATGAAGATTGGATGCTTCTCAGTTTGATGCTCCAGCACAAAAAAACCCGCTTTAGCATAGCCAGGAAACCTGCTCCGTTACACCCAGTTTATAGCTTTTCCGCAATTGAAAAAATAATTATGACGGCAGATATTCCACCTTAAAAATTAAAAAAAATATTTTTCTGTTTTTAAGAATCTGTTGCTATGGATTCGTCACATGTTCCTAACAGTATAATGAGTGTTACAGGAAATGTTAGATGCAAAGGTAGTATTTCCTTATTGGGTTTTTTCCCCACCTGTTTTTATGAGACACTTTAAAACCTGGAAGTAGCCTTTAGTGAAGATCCAGTTAATTTAAGAGGTTGTAGTTCGTCAAACTGTCTTAGAAATTATCTACTGTGAGTGAACTCAGTGTATATAGATAGAGTTAAATGATCTACAGCAGTATAAAAAATGTATTTTCGTAGACTTTACATTTTTCATGTAATATTTTAATAAATGATATCTATTTAACGGTGTGGTTTTCTTTGATCATTACTTTCTGCTTCAGGCGTTTTATGGTTGCACTTCATTCAATATAACTGTGCTGTCGCGCACTAGGCCTATAGCAATTGGCTTTGAACAGGACGTGCTCTTTGTGCCCAGCAGGAAGCCGGGGTGCCTCAGCTGAGAGACCCTAAGGATTTTCCTATACAAAAGTCTTTAGAAGTTAAGGTTAACAAGGTCCTTTATTATTGCTTAGGTCTTCAACAAAACAATCAAATACTTCTCAGATCTTCAACAGGTTAAACCAATGCTTCTTAACTTGGCACCTTGCTTGGAGAACTATTTCTTGCTTGGAGAACTACTTCAGCCAGAGAAATCAGCCATAGCAGAGCACCTGATGAACCAACCTGGACACAGGATATTATTTGAGAACACAGAAATGCTGGACCACTCTCACAACCGCCATGTCAGACTACACAGAGAAGCCATTGAAATCCACAAGCATGTGGACAATTTCAACAGAAAGGAAGAAACCATGAAAATGAACAAAATCTGGCTACCAATATTAAAAAAAACTCTAAAATTACAACAGCAAAACAACAGAGAGTAAACAATCAGGCACATCTAATCACCTCTCAACAAGATTACCCCAGGCACTGCCAAGCCACCAAATGCTAATCAAGGTGGTCAGTTGAAACATTCACACCTAGCTCCAGCAGACAAGAGTCCTTTGTCCCACCCTGGTCATTCCACAGATATATAAACCCATTTTCCTACTTCCAACAAACCTCACTACCTCTGAGGATGCTTGCCATAGATGCAGGCGAAACGTCAGGAGAAAATGCCTCTAGAACATGGCCATATAGCCCGGAAAAACCTACAACAACCCAACTATTTCTTTTCTTTAACAAGGAAAACCCTTTTTAACCCCTCCTTGGGTGATCTACTTTCTAAACTTTGCTGGTGTGGGCTCTACTCCCGGCTCCAAACTGCTTCTTGGGTCCCGAGTAGACCTACCAGTCAAGGCTTTGTAGATTCTCCAGCTGGAGTCCTTTGGAACTGTTTTCCCCAGAATTTCGTAAGAAACGAAGCTTCTCTACAGGTGGAGCTGATTCACGTCCTGTAGCTAAGCTTTCAACTGTAAGACTGAGCTAAAATGGCTCCCTTTCCTTCCTGAACCCTGGGGAAAGGGGCGGAACTAAAGAACATAATGATGATAGGCAGATGGCAGGCCCCATAACTGCAGCCTAAAAAGAACCACCCAGCTGCAAAAGGCATGGCCAAAACAAACACAAGCAATTAACCATGCAAAGAAAGGAAATTTGAGCTTCTGGTACAGCCATACCAGCACAATAACACTTTGCCTGTCATTCTCAGAGGGCATTTCTGAACCTGTGATATTGAGCTGCAAGTGGGATTCCACAGGTTGCGTGCGATCCTGCAAATCTTATCCCCATTTTGATTTTCCCAAAGATCCAATCAAAATACTGTTTTATCCACCAGAAAAAACCCGATAAAAGTTGAACAGAAGTGAAATATCACAGAAAAGGGAAGCCACTTTAATGCCAAACACCCCACTCCTCTCAGTGTTCTTTTAACATTACAGGCTATCTATATAAATAAAAATGTAATGTTTATTTGTGGGATTAACAGAACTCAAAAACCACAGGACGAATTGACACGAAATTTGGACACTGTACACCTATCAGGCCAATGAGTGACTATTACTCATCAAAACACTAAAAAAACAGAGCAGAAGAGACTTAAAAAGCCAAAAAACAAAAAATGCATTACAATGTATGCACACATCCACATATGCACATATCTATATAAATAAAAATGTAATGTTCGTTTGTGGGATTAACAGAACTCAAAAACCACTGGGGAAATTGGCACCAAATTTCGACACAATACACCTAACAACCCAATGTATGTCCTTCACTCAAAATTGTTAGATTTTGTCATTTGGGAGTTGTAGTTGCTGGGATTTATAGTTCACTTACAATCAAAGAGCATGCTGAACTCCACCAATGATGGCATTGAACCAAATATGGCACGCAGGACTCCCATGACCAAGAGAAAACACTAGAAGGGTTTGATGGGCATTGACCTTGAGTTTGGGAGTTGTAGTTCACCTACATCCAGAGATCACTGTGGACTCAAACAATGATGGATCTGGACCAAACTTCAGCCCTCATATTTGGGCTGAATATGCCCAAATATGAACACAGATGGAATTTGGGGGAAATATAGCTTGACTTTTGGGAGTTGTAGTTACTGGGATTTATAGTTCACCTACAATCAAAGAGCATTCTGAACCCTACCAATGACAGAATTGGGGCAAATTTCCCACACAGAACCCCCATGACCAACAGAAAATACTTAAGGCCATCCAGTCCAACTCCCTTCATCAGGGCAAGAAAACGTAAACAAAGCCCTCCTGACAAAGAGCCATCCAGCCATAGATAGAGATAGATAGATATGATTCATACACAGAGTGATGTAGTATCATAGATTTGAAAGGGACCCCCACAGAAGGACAATGATATGTCACATGTTCCAGAGTAGGCAAACCAGACAATCTCCACATCAACGCTGACAAAGAAACAACAATACTGTTTACGCACAAGCATAAAGAAACTACATAGGTTAGATACCATTACTTTAGTTTCCAGATCACCAGACTGGGCCACAGCAACACGTGGCAGGGGATGGCTAGTACACAATATATCTATATAAATAAAAATGTAATGTTCGTTTGTGGGATTAACATAACTCAAAAAACACTGGACGGATTGGCATGAAATGTGGACACTATACTCCTAACAGACCAACGAGTGACCATCACACATAACCCCCCCTCCAAAAAAACCCCATTTCAAATAGTTAGAATCATAGAGTTGGAAGAGACCTTGTGGGCCATCCAGTCCAACCCCCTACCAAGAAGTAGAAAATTGCATTCAGAGCACTCCCGACAGATGACCATCCAGCCTCTGTTTAAAAGTCTCCAAAGAAGGAACCTCCACTACATTCCAGGGGAGAGAGTTCCACTGCTGAACAGCTCTCACAGATAGGAAGTTCTTCCTAATGTTCAAGTGGAATCTCCTTCCTTTTCTCTAGTTTGAAGCGAGTCCCCTGGGGAGATGGTAGCGGGGCATAAATAAAGTATTATTATTATTATTATTATTATTATTATTATTATTCTATTGTGTCCTAGTCTCCAGGGCAGCAGAAAACAAGCCTGCTCCCTCCCCCCAATGACTTCCCCTCACATATGTATACATGGCCGTCATCATGTCTCCTCTCAGCCTGCTTTTTCAGACTAAACATGCCCAGCTCTTTAAGCCGCTCCTCATAGGGCTTGTTCTCCAGGCCCTTGATCATTTTAGTCGCCCTCCTCTGGACCCATTCTTGCGGTGCCTAGAACTGGACAGTGTGATTCCAGGTAAAGTGGTCTGACCAAGGCAGAATAGAGAAAGGGTAGCATGACTTCCCTGGATCTAGACACTATGCTCCTACTGATGCAGGCCAAAATCCCATTGGCTTTTTTAGCCGCTGCATAACATGTTTAAAAACTGTGGTGGTTGTCAGTCGGGGTTGTTTCATGTCTGGAATTCCTGTTTCGGGGGACATGAAACAATCAGGGCCAGCTAACACCTCTCAACAAAGAATCCCCTCAGGCAGGAATCAGCCAGGCCTTGAAGCTGCAAGGTTTTGCAATGCTAATGAAGGTGGCCAATTGCAACATTTACACTTGCATCCAGCAGACAAGAGTTCTTTCTCCCACCTTGGACACTATTCCACAGATATCTATAAAACCCTCACTTGCCTAGTTTCCAAAATGAGGATGACTGCCATAGCTGTGGGCGAAGCGTCAGGAGAAAATGCTTCTGGAACATGGCCAGACATCCCCGAAAACTCACAACAACCCAGTGATTCCAGCCATGAAAGCCTTCGACAACACAACCAAAGCACTCCCGACAGATGGCCATTCAGCCACTGCAAGTGGGCTAAACCTTAAAACCAAATGTATTTATATAAAGTGTCCACTTAAGCTGTATCTGTGCTGTAGGGGCCCCTTCCAAACAGGCCCTACAATCCTGGGATCTGATCCCAGGTTTTCTTCCTTAAACCGGATTATATGAGTCCACACTGCCATATAATCCGAGATAAACCGAAAACCTGGGATGACATCCTGGGATGTCTGGAAGGATGCATGCAGTTTGACACAACTTTCTAAATACAATGGAATACTGGGAGTTGTAGTTTGATCTGACCCCAGGTTTTCTTCTTTAAACCGGATTATATGAGTCCACACTGCCAGATATTCCAAGATAAACAGAAAACCTGGGACGGGATCCTGGGATGTCTGGAAGGATGCATGCAGTTTGACACCACTATCTAAATGCAATTGAATACTGGGAGTTGTAGTTTGATCTGACCCCAGGTTTTCTTCTTTAAACCGGATTATATGAGTCCACACTGCCAGATAATCCGAGATAAACAGAAAACCTGGGGTGGGATCCTGGGATATAGGTCGTGTCTGGAAGAATGCATGCAGTTTGACACCACTTTCTAAATGCAATGGAATACTGGGAGTTGTAGTTTGATCTGACCCCAGGTTTTCTGCTTTAAACCGGATTATATGAGTCCACACTGCCAGATAATCCGAGATAAACCGAAAACCTGGGATGACATCCTGGGATGTCTGGAAGGATGCATGCAGTTTGACACCACTATCTAAATGCAATGGAATACTGGGAGTTGTAGTTTGATGTGACCGCAGGTTTTCTGCTTTAAACCGGATTATATGAGTCCACACTGCCAGATAATCCGAGATAAACAGAAAACCTGGGATGACATCCTGGGATATAGGTCCTGTCTAGAAGGATGCATGCAGTTTGATCTGACCCCAGGTTTTCTGCTTTAAACCGGATTATATGAGTCCACACTGCCATATAATCCGAGGTAAATAGAAAACGTGGGATGGGATCCTGGGATATAGGTCCTGTCTGGAAGGATGCATGCAGTTTGATCTGACCCCAGGTTTTCTGCTTTAAACCGGATTATATGAGTCCACACTGCCAGATAATCTGAGATAAACAGAAAACCTGGGATGACATCCTGGGATGTCTGGAAGGATGCATGCAGTTTGACACCACTATCTAAATGCAATGGAATACTGGGAGTTGTAGTTTGATCTGACCCCAGGTTTTCTGCTTTAAACCGGATTATATGAGTCCACACTGTCAGATAATCCGAGATAAACAGAAAACGTGAGATGGGATCCTGGGATATAGGTCCTGTCTGGAAGGATGCATGCAGTTTGATCTGACCCCAGGTTTTCTGCTTTAAACCGGATTATATGAGTCCACACTGACAGATAATCCGAGATAAACAGAAAACGTGGGATGGGATCCTGGGATATAGGTCCTGTCTGGAAGGATGCATGCAGTTTGATCTGACCCCAGGTTTTCTGCTTTAAACCGGATTATATGAGTCCACACTGCCAGATAATCCGAGATAAACAGAAAACGTGGGATTACATCCTGGGATGTAGATCCTGTCTGGAAGAATGCATGCAGTTTGATCTGACCCCACGTTTTCTGCTTTAAACCGGATTATATGAGTCCACACTGCCAGATAATCCGAGATAAACAGAAAACGTGGGATGACATCCTGGGATGTAGGTCCTGTCTGGAAGAATGCATGCAGTTTGACACCACTATCTAAATGCAATGGAATACTGGGAGTTGTAGTTTGCCAAGGCCTTTAGCCTTTTCCCCTTTAGTGTCAAAATTGCAATATTATATATACATGCACCCATTAGGATTTTTTTTAAAAAAGCTTTCCAACCTTATAAAATAATATAACTTTTGATTACAATAATCTGATGATTAATTACCTTTGTAAACTTTGCCTGCTTTGCCAACTCTAGCTTTCTGACCCAAAAAGAAACCCGGAAGGTTTGTATCCATCTTGTTGCTGTGCGCATCTATCCTATTCAGTGTCTAGCTCTATGAGAATGAGAGTGCTCTGACTCCGGTTAAAAAGGAGGCCCCGCCCATCCTGTTTAGCCCCGCCCACTTTGGAAGAAAAAAACATTTGTTTTCAAAGTCTCGCGATACCTGGACCAAATCTCGCTGCTTGGGGGCGTGGCCAGGTCGAGGTGGGTGTTGTTTCCGCTTCCTCGCTGTCAGTCTCCTCGATGGTGGTGAGTGAGAGAGGTGTGTGGGGCCTACTTGCTTAGAGTTAAGAGGTGGGGGATTGATTTTGCCATTTGGGAGTTGTAGTTGCTGGGATGTATAGTTCACCTACAACCAAAGAGCGTTCTGAACTCCACCAATGATGGAATTGAGGCAAACTTGGCACACTGAACTCCCAAATAACCAACAGAACATACTAGAAGGGTTTGGTGGGCATTGAGCTTGAGTTTGGGAGCTGTAGTTCACCTACATCCAGAGAGCATGGTGGACTCAAACAATGGTGGATCTGCACCAATACTCAATATGCCCAAATGTCAACACTGGTGGAGTTTGGGGTAAATAGACCTTGGCATTTGGGAGTTGTAGTTGCTGGGATTTATAGTTCACCTACAATCCAATAGCATTCTGAACTCCACCAAACGATGGAATTGAGGCAAACTTGGCACACAGACCTCCCATGACTAAGAGAAAATACTAGAAGGGTTTGGTGGGCATTGAGCTTGAGTTTGGGAGTTGTAGTTCACCTACATCCAGAGAGCACTGTGGACTCAAACAATGATGGATCCGGACCAAACTTGGAACTAATATTCCATATGCCCAAATATGCACACAGATGGAGTTTGGGGGAAATAGTAGTTGTCGTTACTGGGATTTATAGTTCACCTACAATCAAAGAACATTCTGAACCCCACCAATGGTAGAATTGGGCCAGACTTCCCACACAGAACCCACATCTCCAACAGAAAAAGATGTGTTTTCTGATGGTTTTTCGCGACCCCTCTGACACCCCCTCACGACCCCCCAGGGGTCCCGACCCCCAAGTTTGAGAAACCCTGATGTAAGTACTTAACTCTTATCAAAAGTAGGATGCAACCTTTTGGGTTGTTGTAAGTTTTTCGGGATATATGGCCATGTTCTAGAGGCATTTTCTCCTGACATTTCGCCTGCATCTATGGCAAGCATCCTCAGAGGTTGTGAGGTCTGTTGGAAGTAGGAAAATGGGATTATATATCTGTGGAATGACCAGGGTGAGACAAAGGACTCTTGTCTGCTGGAGCTAGGTGTGAATGTTTCAACTAACCACCTTGATTAGCATATAATGGCTTGGAAGTGCCATTTTCCTACTTCCAACAGACCTCACTAGTACGCGGAACAATGGCTTCAAACTACAAGAAAGGAAATTCCATCTGAACACGAGGAAGAACTTCCTGACTGCGAGAGCCGTGCAGCAGTGGAACTCTCTGCCCCGGAGTGTGGTGGAGGCTCCTTCTTTGGAAGCTTTTAAACAGAGGCTGGATGGCCATCTGTCAGGGGTGATTTGAATGCAATATTCCTGCTTCTTGGCAGAATGGGGTTGGATTGGATGGCCCATGAGGTCTCTTCCAACTCTTTGATTCTATGATTCTCACTACCTCTGAGGATGCTTGCCATAGATGCGGGTGAAACGTCAGGAGAAAATGCCTCTAGAACATGGCCATATAGCCCGAAAAAACCTACAACAACCCAGAAAATGCTGTGTTTTCTGATGGTCTTTAGCGACCCCTCTGACACCCCCTCACAACTCCTCCCAGCAGTCGCAACCCCCAAGTTTGAGAAATGCTGATGTAAGTACTTAACTCTTATCAAAAGTAGGATGCAACCTTTTGGGTTGTTGTAAGTTTTTCAGGCTGTGTGGCCATGTTCTAGAAGCATTCTCTCCTGACGTTTTGCCTGCATTGTAGTAGTAATTTTATTGATTGGGCCATATCACAATAAGAAACAGAACAACAAGGCCTGACAAGATCTGATCACACTCCATGTAGTAAGTTAAAATAAGACATAATAATAAATATGATAAGACATGATAAAACTGATAAACTGATCAAGCTGAGTATATACATCATATCTCCTTATCACCCCTACAATTTACCCCAATCAGCCCTACATATGTGGTTCTCAGGCGTATTGTTTTGCTTAAATACAGAGCTGTTTTATGTGTTATTTTTGGGTCTTGGCCACACATAAAATATGTTGTTCTGATGTGAGAATCCCAATACATTGTCCGTTTGATATATGGACCAAGGTGGAAGTGACCTCAAAACCTCTGTGGATGCTTGCCATAGATGCAGGTGAAACGTCAGGAGAGAATGCTTCTAGAACATGGCCATAGAGCCCGAAAAACCTACCACAACCCAGTGATTCCAGTCATGACAGCCTTCAATAATACAAGCAACCTTTCATTTTCTTTGTGGAGAGAAAACATGGGGTATAAACAAATAATAGGGTGGGTGTGAGTTTTCCAGGCTGTCTGGTCATGTTTCAGAAGCATTCCCTCCTGATGTTTCGCCCACATCTGTGGCAGGCATCCTCAGAGGTGCCCCCGGTGGCGCAGTGGGTTAAACCCCTGTGCCGGCAGGACTGAAGACCGAAAGATCGCAGGTTCGAATCCGGGGAGAGGCGGATGAGTTCCCTCTACCAGCTCCAGCTCCTCATGCAGGGACATGAGAGAAGCCTCCCACAAGGATGATAAAAAACATCAAAAAAAATCATTCGGGCATCCCCTGGGCAACGTCCCTGCAGACGTTGGCCAGAAGTGACTTGCAGATTCTCAAGTCGCTCCTGACATGATAAACCCTGCGAATTGGGGGGGAGGGCTGAAGCCCCTCAAGCCCCCCCCCCCCCCCCCAGTTCTCAGGGTGTCTGTGAGAAGGCCTTACTGGTACATTATTTAAACTATTATGTTTATTCATATCATGATCTGATCACCATGCTCACCCCCGGGCTACGGGCCTGTGCCTGGAGGAATCCTTTGTTGGGATACGTTAGCTGGCCCTGATTGTTTGATGTCTGGAATTCCCCTACTTTTTGAGTGTTTTCTGGGTGTTTTTTTATGAGTCTACCATATACCATGCAGCTGTGGACAAGTCTACAAATGCAGCATTGCCAAACACAAATCAAGGAACATGAAAGACTGATTCAACCAGAAAAGTCAGCCATAGCAGAGCATATTATTTGAGAACACAGAAATGCTGGACCACTTTAACAATCTCCATGTCAGACTACACAGAGAAGCCATTGAAATCCACAAGAAGCATGTGGACAATTTCAACAGAAAGGAGGAAACCATGAAAATGAACAAAATCTGGCTACTAGTATTAAAAAGAAAACTCTAAAATTAGGACAGTAAATAAAGAGCTATGCTCAAAAAAATGGCAATTCCAGACAAGAAACAATCAGGACCAGGTAACACCTGACAACAAAGGATTCCCCCAGACAGGAAGCTGCCAGGCTTTGAACCTGCAAGGCTATTCAGTTCTACTCAAGCTGGCCATTGCCTCTCAAGTTAGCATTGCTGGTTCCCCTCTCTGTGGAATAACCCTCAAAGTTCTCTGAAATTTTGGTCCCAGAACCTGCCTTTGATATATACATGGTCAACATACACATGAGCCTACCACCCGAAAGCCCCGTGCAGCAGCCAGGTTACTCACAAGAACGCCCATGAAATGCCATATAATACTAGAGCTACAGCACTTACATTGGCTTCCAACTGATTACCGTGGTCTCTATAAGATGCTAGTTCTGACCTTTAAAATTCTTTACAGCTAGGGTCCATTGTACCTTAGGGACCGTCTCTCCTTCTCCCATCTTCGGAGACCGCAACGACCAGCACAACACAACTTACTCTATATACCGGGTCCTAGAGAAGTGCACTTGGAAAGGACCAGACGCAGGGCTTTTCCTATTTCTGCCCCTGCCTTGTGGAATTCCTTGCCGCCCTACTTGAGAGCCATGCGTGACTCCAAGGCTCCAGCGCAGGAAACAAGATTGCGCCTTCCTCCTCAATGGGGCATCCATTCCAATATATAAACAAGGCTTTGGTATCCCCTTCTGTTGGCCTTCTCTTCTCCAAACTGAACATCTCCAGTGAGTTGTTGTAGGTTTTTTCAGGCTATATGGCCATGGTCTAGAGGCATTCTCTCCTGACGTTTCGCCTGCATCTATGGCAAGCATCCTCAGAGGTAGTGAGGTCTGTTGGAAATAGGGGAAAGGGTTTATACATCTCCAGCTTCCTCAACCACTCCTCGTAGTGCTTGGCTTCCAGACTTTTGACCATATTGTCACTTTCTCTGGCCACTGTCCAGCCTGTCAATATTCTTCTTGAATTGTCATTTGTTGTTCTTGTTTATTTGTTCAGTCGCTTCCGACTCTTCGCGACCTCATGCCAGAGCTCCCTGTCGGCCATCACCACCCCCAGCTCTTTCAGAGTCAACCCAGTCAAATCTCAAAATTGTGACAACCGAAATCTCCTTTTTGTAAAGCATTACTATATATACTCAAGTATAAGCCTAATTTTTAGCCCTTTTTTTACGCAGAAAAAGTCCCCCTCGGCTTATACTCGAGTCAAAGTTATTTATTATTATTTTTATTACATTTATTATTTTACTTTATTGTTATTAATTGAAACACAAGATAAGTACACAGCAAATAAGATCCTTATACTGGCTGTTGTATTGGATCACATATCGGACACTTCCCAAGTGTCTAGGACTATGTGATGTATCGGCAAAAAATGCATGCAGATCCCAATAAGGCGGCCTTTTGCAGCTGACAGATGGTAATTTTGTCAGCACCGATTGTGTTTAAGTACAGGCCAAGGTATTACATTTATTATTTTACCTTATTAGTGTTATTATTTCACTCTATTTATTATTATTACATTTATTATTTTACTCTATTATTATTGGAAGGGTACGTAAGCACATTTACATTGAAGAAGATCCGAATAATCAGAATTTAAGAGTCTTCTCTTAAATTACAATTTTATGTAAATACTAGCTGTCCCCTGCCACGCGTTGCTGTGGCCCAGTCTGGTGATCTGGAAAATAAAGTAATGAGAAAGTGTTGGTTTCTAATATATGTAATTCCTTTATGCTTGTGAGTAAACAGTATTTCTTGTTGTTTCTTTGTCAGTGTTGATGTGGAGAGTATCTGGTTTGCCTACTCTGGAATATGCAACATATCATAGTCCTTCTTTAAGGGTCTCTTTCAAATCTGTGATATTATATCTGTGTGTGTGTGTGAGGATCATATCTATCTATCTATATCTATGGCTGGATGGCTCTTTGTCAGGAGGGCTGTGTTTACATTTTCTTGCCCTGGTGAAGAGAGTTGGACTGGATGGCTTTAAGTATTTTCTGTTGGTCATGGGGGTTCTGTGTGGGAAGTTTGCCCCATTTCTGTCGTTTGTGGGTTTCAGAATGCTCTTTAATTGTAGTGAACTATAAATTCCAGTAACTACAAATCCCAAATGTCAAGGTCTATTTCCTCCAAACTCCATCTGTGTTCATATTTGGGCATATGGAATATTTGTGTCAAGTTTGGTCCAGATCCATCATTGTTTGAGTCCACAGTGCTCTCTGGATGTAGGTGAACTACTACTCCCAAACTCAAGGTCAATGCCCACCAAACCCTTCCAGTGTGTTCTGTTGGTCGTGGAAGTCCTGTGTGCTAAGTTTGGCCCAATTCCATCATTGATGGAGTTCAGAATGCTCTTTGATTGTGGGTAAACTATAAATCCCAGCAACGACAATTCCCAAATGACAAGGTCATTTGAGTGCAGGACATAAATTGGATTGTTAGGTGTCTTGTGTCCAAATTCCCCCAGTGGCTTTTGAGTTCTGATGGTAGCACGAACTAACATTACATTTTTATTTATATAGATTGAAAAACATTTAACCTACAGATGCTTCAGTTAATGCAACTGTATTGGTATCTCGGCTTATACTTGAGTTGATCCATTTTCCCAGTTTTTTCTGGCAAAATTAGGTGCCTAGGCTTATATTCGAGTCGGTTTATAATTTATACTCGAGTATATACGGTAGTTCCATGTGATAAGATTGTTTGTTCTGTATCCTGCACAGGTGAGATGGCCACTCCCTGTGAGCGATTGCTTCTGGTTTTGCTTGCTTCCCAAGGCCTTCTATTCACGGCAAGTGCTTACAACGAGGAGGACGATACGCCGGAAGAATGGCTTCTCCTCCACGTGGTTCACGGTCAAATCGGCGCCGGGAACTACAGCTACTTAAGACTGAACCACGAAGGGAAAATCATTCTTCAGATGCAGAGCTTGCAAGGCGATGCAGACTTGTATGTGTCCGACGTGACCCTTCACCCCAGTTTCGACGATTACGAGCTGCAGTCCGTCACTTGCGGACGGGATGTGGTGTATGTCCCTGAGCACTTTCGCCGCCCGGTGGGGATAGGGATCTACGGCCACCCGTCTCACCGGGAGAGCGAATTCGAGATGAAGGTTTTCTACGATCCGACCGTTGTGCACTCGCCGTTTAGTGGCGGCTCCTACAATCCGGAAGAGATGGAAATGAGCCGCAAGCATCCTCCGTCAACGGAAGACAACTCTCAGGACGAAGAATCGGTCTTCTGGACTATACTGATCGGGATACTCAAGCTAATCCTTGAAATCCTCTTTTAGCTTTATAGACGTGCGCTTTTTTCGGTGGGGATTGGGTGGGGTGATCAACACGTAAAAACTGAATGAAGACTGTTCTTTGAACATTAGTACTAACTGGTGTGTCTTGTGGTGGGGAAGGGAAAATAAAGCCATAACTGATTTTTGTATTGTAATCTTTGGCCAGAGAGCGATGCTGTAGTATTTTTTACAGTTCACTGATCAAGGTTGAAGATTACGAATGTTCTAATTCACTGTGACTTTGAATAAAGTTTTATTTTCTATATGAAGGTTTTCAGAACTTGAGAAATATCATGAATCCGCACCCAGTGTTTCGCTATATTATAAATGCGACATCCGAGGGAGTACATGTCTATCAAAGCTCATGTTATCAAGTTCATTCTCTCAGTGAGTCTCTAAGGCAGGCATGGGCAAACTTGGGCTATCCTCCAGGTGTTTTGGACTACAACTCCCACAATTCCTAACAGCCTACCGGCTGTTAGGAATTGTGGAATTTGCAGTCCAAAACACCTGGAGGACAGCCCAAGTTTGCCCATGCCTGTGAGTCTAAGATAGAATCATAGAATCCTAGAGTTGTAGTTTTTTCCGGGCTATATGGCCATGTTTTAGAGGCATTTTCTCCTGACGTTTTGCCTGCATCTATGGCAAGCATCCACAGAGGTTGTGAGGTCTGTTGGAAGTAGGAAAATGGGATTATATATCTGTGGAATGACCAGGGTGAGACAAAGGACTCTTGTCTGCTGGAGCTAGGTGTGAATGTTTCAGCTGACCACCTTGATTAGCATTTAATGGCTTGGAAGTACCTGGGGGGAGTCTTTTGTTGAGAGTGATTTGATGTGCCTGATTGTTTACTCTCTGTTGTTTTGCTGTTGTACACAGAGAAGCCATTGAAATCCACAAGCATGTGGACAATTGCAACAGAAAGGAAGAAACCATGAAAATGAACAAAATCTGGCTACCAGTATTAAAAAAACTCAAAAATTACAACAGCAAAACAACAGAGAGTAAACAATCAGGCACATCAAATCACTCTCAACAAAAGATTCCCCCAGGCACTTCCAAGCCATTAAATGCTAATCAAGGTGGTCAGTTGAAACATTCCCACCTAGCTCCAGCAAAATAGCCATGCATGTCAGTGCTGACACGCGTGTCATAGGTTCACCATCACGGCTCTAGACCATGGCCATATAGCCTGAAAAAATCTACAACAACCCAATGGTAAAGCCATCTGTGGGTTGACGCATTTGTACCAAAGTACATCAACAGCTATCTAGTCTTCTGGATTTGATTCAATTATTCCTTTTCCTGTAACTGGAAACAAGTAGGTATTTTTCCAAGAGGAGGAAAACAGTCTGAAGATGACAGAAACCATTTGGAACTGCTGTCAGTTCATTCAAGCATAGCATTGTCAACTCTGTGATACAAAACACCTGTGAATTCTTTACAAAACAGACCGTATCCCTCTTTTCTTTGTCATTCTGTTTTTCAACATCACTTCTATTAATAATCAACCTTTTCCTGAAGAGCAGGACCACAAGTGATTGCTATGCAATGTATCTGCTGTGCAGCTTTTTCTATATGTGTATATATATATATATATATATAGGATCGAGATATATATATATATTACTTACTTTTAAAAAAGTAAAAGTAAGATATATGTATATATATATATATAGCTCTCGATCCTTTCGACAAATTGTGTGCGGACAGGCAAGGCAGAGCATTTCCCCTCTTTCTGGGGCTGCCGGTTGAAAAGCAGAGCCGTGAACAGAATGTACCCAAGAATCCTCCCCATTGTACTGAAATTAAAAAAAAAAAACTTTATTTGGTGAACAATGTTTTCGAGTGGTATTTTTCCTTAGACAAGAGTGGTCAGTAGAATAGCACCAAGCTGAGCACTTGTTTTTGTTTTGTTTTGTGCAGTTGAGTAGAAAGAATGTAACCGTGTGTTTTTCACCCTTCTTTGCTGTTCTTTGCTCTTCTCCCTCTGCCCCTGGGGATCGGGGGCTGCCGCTCACAACAGTCACAGATCCAGCGACCTACAAAGCAAAAGCTTTGTGTTAAAAGGAGGCAAAATGTGTAATAGTGGAAAGACGGCTACAAGCCCTGGTTTGGGACAAGGAAAGTGGGCCTCAGGGCTGAAATTCATGGCCACAGTCAAGAATGCATAACTTACGTACATTATTCAAATTCACAATCCCAATACATTCAATATGGTTTGGGGCCTGGACAGTAATGACAAACCGCAGAGCATTAAGGCCTTTTGTTTGCACACTTTTGTGAGCAGATGCCTAGTCACTGCAGTTTGAAGCTAGTGTAGATCTACATCAGTGGTTCCCAACATTTTTTGGGAGAGACATCCTGCAGAACATTTTGCTATCGTTTTCAATGGGTATCTCACTGGGAGTGGCCATCTCACCTGTGTGATATACAGAATGAACCTCTGCCACTTGGAAGTAATGCTTTACATACAGGTGTAGCGAATTTGTTGATCTATCTTAAATTTTTGATGTATAGCTCTATGTTGCAATGTGGCAGAATTGGCAGAAATAGGGTAGCAACAGTAGAGGCAAGATTAATTTGCATACGTGCAGCTGATTGGTCGTATGCAGATGAGTGTTTGAAAGGGCTGCTGAGCCAGAATGGCGGTTGGGGGGAAGAGAGCTGAACATTCCAAAGGGGCGGAGTTAAGTTTAAAAATAAGCAGTTGGAGAGTCAGGATAGTCATTTAGGGATTCCTGTTTGTGAAGGATAGTTAGGAACTTCTGTGAGAGAAAAGCAGTTAGGAAAATGGAGCTTAAGTTTTAAGGAGAATAAAGAAGTGCCAGTGTGGTTTAAGGTGGAATATAGTTTTGTCAAGAGTATATGAAAAAGTAACATATTCGTTGATGTGAAACAGTTGAAGTTTGATAGGAAAAGTTAACTAAGTGAATGATATTGAATGTAAGACTCAAGACTGTAACAGTACACACAAATGTAACCATAAGCATTGGAGCCAGAAGCTATAAATAAACTTTGTTACTTGGTTTACTACAAGTGTGTCTCAAGCCTGTAATATAAAAGCCTCAAGGTAAAAGCTCACAAGAAAGCCCCAGCTCATTTAAATGGGGGAAAATACATCAATACAAGGCAGTAAAAAGATTTAAAAGGAAATATTCCCCCCCCCCCCCCACATCGTCACACATAAAAAGACACCTGAAAAAGGACTGAAGTAGTGAAATGTTATCTCAACAGCCATGTGCAAACTTCTACCCTCCAGGTGTTTGGACTTCAGCTAACCATAGGCTTTTAGGAATGGTGGGAGTTGAGGTCCAAAACACCTGGAGGGCTGTAGTTTGCCCATGCCTGCTCCATTTTTTTTTCTTTGCAGCCTTGGAAGCAGAAGACAAGAAGCAAGCTGATCTCAGTCTCTGGAGAAAAAGTAATTTGGGTAAATAACTACCTGAGGGGATAGCACCAAGCCCCACGCAAAAGGTATGATAGCCGCGGTCGCAGAGGTCGCAGAACATCATCTCTTCCTCGTGGTGAGGCTGGCCGCATATGATGCATGTCTTGCACTCCATGCATTGCCAGGGATAGGTCTTAATGATCGCCACAAGCTCCGCAGACATGTCCAGACAGGAAGGGTGGCCTGCATCAAAACCAGGACCGTTACTAGAACAGCCAGATAAAGCACCTTTTAATAGAAATAATCTAAGGAGGGATTTTTACACACCTACGTATGTTCATTCCAATGTTTTATAGAGATGCTGACAAGAATCCCATATGGTCTTTATACCATATTTCCCCCCAAAATAAGACCAGGTTTGCTCCAAAAGATGCATTAGGGATATCTTTTTTAAAAAATGTGCAATAATCTACATTAATTCATGTAAAACATTAGCATTTATTCAAGGACAGTAATCTTCTAGAACATTGTTAACCTCTTATGTCGACAATATTATTTTATATTTTATATATATACACTAATATTATTTTATTATAATTCAATATGTCCGTCGTGTGTCATAAGGGATGTACTACCAGCAGTTGACAGTCTTAACTGAGTCTTATTTTTGGCTTATATTACAAGTATCTTGAAGAGAAATCATGATAGGGCTTATTTTCTGGTTAGGTCTTATTTTGGGGGGAAAGGGTATGTGTAAACTAAGTACCATAGTTACAATACTACACAGCAAATTCCAGCTCAATCCCTTCCTCAACTTCTTGATCGATTGGGAAGCATCTCTACTCCCTCTCCTGATTCTCAAGGGCTTTCTCTGAGAAAGTTTCTCTCTGCCTTGAGATGCCTTCCATGCCTCTTCTGCCAAAGGTAGATGACTTGTCCTTTTGACTATCTACTCCAATGGTTCTCAGTCTGTGGGTCCCCAGGTGTTTTGGCCCACAACTCCCACAAATCCCAGCCAGTTTACCAGCTGTTAGGTTTTCTGGGAGTTGCAGTTCAAAACATCTGGGGTCCCACAGGTTGAGAACCACTGATCTACTCTTTTATCTGAGATGTGTTACCTGCAACAATAAAATTGTTTACCTTTTTGAAAACATACCAGGGCATCTGATGTATTTCCTCTCCTGTTCTTCCCTACCATAAGCTCATCTAGAGCACTGGCTGCACTACACTCTACTCTGCTAGAGAAACAAGGTTTCCATGACACAATGTTCAACCTTCACACTAGAGCTTCACACACGAGGCCTTCTCATTACGAGGCCTACTTCACACTCTGAAGCCTTTCTCTCACAGCGGGGCCTACTACTACTGAAACTTATTCTCCCCCTGAGGCGTTCTCTCACACAGGCTTCTCTCAGACTGAGGCTGTTCACAGCAGGAGCCCATGCCCTGTGTGGATTCCTTGTTGTCTTCTGCCTGTGTCTCCTATAACAGGCAGACATTCTTATATTGATCTACAGCTATTTCTGAGTCATTGAATCCATTTAACTCTTTCAGTGCTCGACTCACATTTTTGTAATTAAAAATGCCTAGTTAATTTTTAATATTTCTGACAGCAATTTCAAGTGTGACTGTTACATGTTTAAAGTTCCTACATAGCTGTTAAAGTTCCAAATTCTTTGTGACTGACGGTCATCTCTTGCCTTTGACATGGTAGAATACAATGTTCTCTCACTTATTGTGGGCATTAGGTTCCAGGACTACCCGCGAAAAGTGAAAATCCGTGAAGTAGAGATGATATATATAAATGTAATGTTCGTTTGTAGTATTAACAGAACTCAAAAACCACTGGGGGAATTGACACGAAATTTGGACACTATA